TTTCTTTCTTTCTTTCTTTCTTTCTTTCTTTCTTTCTTTCTTTCTTTTTAATGTTTATTTATTTTTGAGAGACAGAGAAAGAGCATGAGCAGAGGAGGGACAGAGAGAGAGAGAGAGAGACAGAATCTGAAGCAGGCTCCAGGCTCAGAGCTGTCAGCACAGAGCCTGATGCAGGGCTCGAACCCACAAGCTGTGAGATCATGACCTGAGCTGAAGTCAGACACCCAACTGACTGAGCTACCTAGGCACCCCAGGATGATCTTTCTAAACTGGAAATGTAATTGGAATGTAATTGGAATCATGTTGTTCCCCTGCTCATAGCCCTTCAGAGTTTCCCCACTGCTCTCAGGATAAAGTCTACAACCTGGGTGGGCATTCAAGGCTTCCATGACCTTGCCATGATCGCCTTTCCAGCCTCCTCACTGGTCCTACACTCCTGACATTCTACCTTCAAGCTGTATGTTATCTATTTCTTATCCTGTGCCTTCTCCTGCTTTGAATAGTCCCTGCCTGAGGAAGAACACTCAGCTTTGCAGACTTGGCTGCAGAAATCTCTCCTGACCCCTCCTGTGTTCCAGTGTGCCTTTGTTCGGTCCCTTCCATCATGGCATTGCCAGCCACTGTGTTTATGTTTTTACTGCCTCCTTACCCTGACTAGACTGTAATCCCACTGGGGGCACAGACTCTTGTTTGAAACTCCAGAATCTAACCCCATTCTCAACTCTATTACTCCCAGCTGTTTGACCTTGAGCAAGTCATTTAACCTCTCTGCTTTCCTCTATAAAATAAGGAAACAAATTTTCCTACCCTAGAGGTTGTTAGAGGATTAAATAAAATAAGTTTAAAGCAGTGAGAAGGGTGTCTGGCTGTAGTAAGTGCTCATTAAATTCAATTGTTAGAAGGTACTTGGTAAATATTAGGAAGACTTTGTTGAATGTGTTCTTGACCAGGTTAGTTGCCTCCTCCTGGACCCTTTCCTGACTTCCCTCAACCCCTACAGTTAGGTGCTTTCTCCTCTGGTCCCTGTAGACTTGGAACTGGACAGGAAGCCAGGGCTTGTGACTCACCTGACTCATTCTTCTTGTGTTTTGATTTTCTAGTGCCTAAAACTAAAGCAATAGATAAGAGACTTGGCCCCCTGGTGGATGAGTTTAAGGAGCTTGTCTACCCACCTGATTATAATCCTGAAGAAAAAGTTTCCAAGAGGAAACAAGGTGAGGAACTGGGTTATTTATTTAATTTTCTAAGTTTATTTTTGAGAGCAAAAGGAGAGAGGGTGCAAGCAGGGGAGAGGCAGAGAGAGGGAGAATGAGGATCTGAAGTAGGTTCTGTGCTGATAGCAGAGAGCCCAATGCAGGGCTCGGACTCATGAACCGTGAGATCATGACTTGAGCTGAAGTCAGACACTTAGCTGACTGAGCCACGTAGGCGACCCAGGAACTGGTTTTTAATTTAAAAATTTTTAATGTTTATTTTTGGGAGAGGGAGGGCGAGGAAGTGCTAGCAAGAGAGGGGCAGAGAGAGAAGGAGACAGAGAATACGTGTTATCAGCGCAAAGCCCGATGTGGGGCTCGAACTTGCAGCCTTACAAGGAAATGGAGCTGTGAGAGACTAGGTTGGTGGCCATGGAGCCTTCTCTCTTCTCCATCAGAAGTGACTCCTCTAGGGGCACCCCGGGTGGCTTGGTCAGTTAGGCATCTGACTTGGTTTTGGCTCCGGTCATGATCTCATAGTTGGTGAGTTAGAGCCCCACATCAAGCTCTGTGCTGACACTGTGGAGCCTGCTTGGAATCATCTCTCTCTCTCTTTCTCTCTCTCTCTCTGTCTCTCTCTACCCCTCCCCTGTTCTCACAAACACGTGTGCATGCTTTCTCTCAAAAGAAACAAACATTTATAAAAAAAAAAAAAACCCAAAAAGTGACTCCTAGTGCCCTGTGTGAGCTGTTACCATAGCTCTTCACACATGTGCACACTTTAGGGATTTACTTGTTTATCCCACTCAGTCTGCACTTGCTTATCGTCTAGCATGGCGCCTTAGTACTTGACACGGTGCTCTGTAAATGCTTTTTGAACGAAGGAAGTAATGACTTCCCCAGACTGAGCACCAATTTTGGGTAAACCGATGGCAACTGCACTACTTGGAACTTCCTTCTAGGTCTGATATGGTTTTGACTTTATGCTTAAATGAAGCTACCTTATCAAAACACGCTCCCCTGGGCATCCCAGCTTATGGAAAATGGCTAACTGCAGCCCAGACCGTAGAAGGGCCACTGTTAGCATTTCCAATCACTCCCTCCTGACCTTTTTCCCCAGATGATGAAGGTTCTGGAAGCAAAAGACCCAAAGTGGAGTTATCTGAAGAGGAGCTGAAGGCCCATGTCAGCAAGGGCACGCTGGGTAAGCTCACTGTGCCCATGCTGAAGGAAGTCTGCAAGGTGTATGGGCTGAAGGGCGGGATGAAGAAGCAGGAGCTGATGAACATGCTCACTGAGCACTTCCAGAAGAACTGACCAGAGACTGAACAGCTAGCCACCCTTCTGTACTATTGCCAGGCTGCCTGGGTTGTTCTCATCAAGTTAAAACCTGTTTCTTCTGGGCCAGGAAGAGTCTGTCTGATAGAAGCCAGGAACTTTACATTTATGAGACTTTCTGTTGCCATGGAGACAGCATAGCCCTCCCACTTTGCTGGGCTTTACTGTCTGAATAAAGAGCTCTAACTTTGTACTATATACTGTTATTTGTTATTTTTCCATATTTTTATTTATTTTTGAGAGAGTGTAAGCCGGGGGGTGGTGGTGCGCAGAGAGAGGAGGGGACAGAGGATCTGAAGCGGGCGCCGTGCTGACAGCAGACAGTCTGATGTGGGGCTCGAACTCATCGTGAGATACGATCTGAGCCGAAGTTAGATGCCTAGCCAACTGACTGAGCCACCCAGGTGCCCCTATACTGTTCTTTAGTATGAAAGAGAAAGATGTGTCTGTCTCACATCCAAAGATCACCTGCCATTGGCTATTGGCTTTATTTGCTCTCCCATTAGGAACACATCATCATCGTGGAAATAAAGTATCAGTGAAGGTAGGGGAGAATGTGACAATTAAGGACAGGTAGACATACTTGAGGAATGACAAGCCCCAGCAATATTCTCATCCTCTGCTCCCCCCCTCCCCCCCACCTGTTTTCCCTTTCACTGTGTCAATATAGACCTAAAGATCAGAGTTCAGAAGCACTAAGAATGGAACGTTTCTAATTCTGGTACCATTTGCTTCATGAGTGACTAGCAGCCCCTTTCATGCTGCATTCCTCTTAATGTGACATTCAGGTACGTGAAGATACATTTTCTGTTGCCCTGAGAATTTGGATTCCAGCATACGTGAAAGGAGTTATTCCTCGTGTTTTTTCAGGGAAGCTGTGGTAGGGTGAGGAGAGGGCCTAGCATTAGGAAAAGGGGAAGAGGAGCAGGGTGACTTCTCTTTGTTGCTGCTATTGCTTTTGAAGAATTAGAGGGAAGTTAATCCTCAAAAGCATCTCTTCCCATCGGAGAATTAACTTCCCTCTCCCCCACATAAGGAAAGAAAGCCAAACAATATAATATCTGCTTTCCAAGTAAAAACAAAACACCTTAAACACTCAGAGAACAAAGAATCCAAAAGTGAAAATCTCTTAGAAGAGTAACTTGACCCGTCATATATCTCATGAGATGCTCATTCTAGTCCTGGAAGACACACGGCCTACAGACCTGAATCTCCAGCCATCCATGGAGGATGCAAATCCTTCCAGATGCTTTCCTTCCTTCTCTCAGGCTAATTCTTCAAAAGCAGTAGCAACAGAAAGAGCAGAAAAGGGACAGAGAGGATAGAAAAGGGATGGTGGGTGGGGGTGGGGCAGAGATTTTTCAAAATGTAACTTAGCTGACATTGAGAGGGACTCGGGGATACCGTGCTGAGAACAAGTTCCTCTTCCTTCCTCACCACCTTTAAGCCCTCATAGTTTGGGCTTAACGATAATGGAAATGCATTGTTTAGTACTTAACGTATTACAGATGACCTTTACCAAGGTCACTATTGTAAATATAAAAACATTCCTTAATCTTAGTCCACTCAGGAAACTTGCACTCAGAACAGAAGTTCCTAACCACTGTGTGTTTGGGGTCAGAGGAACCTTTCAGACCTGATGATTGACCTGATTTTCTCTACAAAAATGTTTAAATGCAAAATTCTGCAACCAACTTCATAGGTGGCTGGCTGGAAATTACTAGATTTCCTTGCTTGTGTGTCTACCCTTTAGGAATTCATTCTACACTTAAAAAAAAATTTTTTTTTTAATGTTGATTTATTTTTGAGAGAGGGAGAGACAGTGTGAGGAGAGGGGCAGAGAGAGGGAGACACAGAATCCGAAGCAGTCTCCAGGTCTGAGCTGTCAGCACAGAGCCTGACACGGGCTGGAACTCACGAACTGGGAGATCACGAGCTGAGCTAAAGTCGGATTGGACGCTCAACCGACTGAGCCACCCAGGTGCCCCATCATTCTACACTTTTGAAGCATCTATGTCAGGGCACTGCTACAGGTGCTAGGGTATCACACAAGTTCCTGCTCGCTAATGAGGGTTAATGATCAGAAAACCACCTCAGATGTTAGTAAAGAAGAAGCTAAAAATAGGATGTCACAGTGCCGGGGGAAAAGGAAAGAAATGAGGTAGTTTGTAAAGGTCCTACAGCAGTGATACTTGAATTAAGACTGGCATGAGAAGAAAGCCACCAGTGCAGTAAAGGAACATGAGATACAACCAACAAGAAGTAAGTACGTTTGGAATGTTCAAGAAACCAAATGTGAAACACTGAGTGAAGACAGAACATGGTGGAGATGCAGACACAGGACAGGCAGGGGGGCCATTAGGAGCAGGAAGAGCCAGTTTTTTCAAAGGATCATAAACGGGGACCCTGGCCTCTGAAGGCTTAAAATGTAGCTGTGGCAACTGAGCTAACACTCCAGAGTAAAGTGGGTACTAGGGGTGTAGATCCCAGGAGCCCCTGCCCCACCTCACTTCCTAAAGCTCTAGTGGATAAGGCTGAGTTTCCAACCAAGTGGAGGTTGAACTTGATCTTCCTCCACCCAAATTATTTTGTTCTTTTAAAGTATGATTATAAATGTACATATAGAACAAAACATAGTAAGCAACCTGAACCCCACCACCTACAAATATAAAGCTGCTTGGGTTGGCGGGGTCGGGGTGGGGAGATGGGGGTATCTAAACATTGGAGTCACCTGGAGGAAATGACTAGCCCAGTAGGCACACAACACTTTAGCAGGATAGGGTGGTTTCTGGATTTCCTACATATGCTTCTTACTGAAACGTGCACACTGGCCCAAGCTGGCCAAGACAACACTAAATATAACCTGCACTAATTTGACCATTATGGTATTCAGTTATCTATACCCTGGAAGAAAACTTCTCTTGCTGAGATACAAGGATCTCACAGTGCTTTCCCTCAGGTTAACAAGTGGCTTCAGTCATCACCTCCCCACCACAACCCCTAACTCTCTAGCATGTGGCAAAGGCTACTAGGAGCCCTAATTCTGCAACAGTTCTCAGCTAGGGGTGACTTTGCCACCGGAACACCTGGCAGTGTCTTCGGGGAGGGAGACGATTGCTACTGACATCTAGTGGGTAAAGGCCAGAGATGCTGCTAAACATTCTACAGCATACAGGGCCCCCCTCTCCCATAAAGAATCATTCAGCCTGCTCCTAGAATTATTACTACACTATATGTAAACTAACTTGGATTAAAAAAAAATTTTTTTTAACGTTTATTTTTGAGACAGAGAGAGACAAAGCATGAACGGGGGGGCGGGGGGGGGGGGGG